TCTCGCCCCTCCCCCTTGTCCTTTGCCACAGCGGCTGGCAACCGCAGGCCCAGTGCTGCTGTGGAGTGCGCAGCCATGGACGGCACCGGCCGCAGGGTGCTCTGGAAGAGAGCCCGGGCTCCCACTGGCCTAGCCTTTGGGGGTGCAGGCACCCGGCTGTACTGGGCAGACCGTGGTGAGTGTGGGCTGAGCAGGGGCACTGCTGGGGGTGGCGGTGGTGTGGGCGCTCGGTCTGCAGGGCACCCTGGAGCCCTCTGTGCCCTCACATCTGATGTCCCTGCATCTGTGCCCTGCAGAGAGAGGCACTATCAGCAGCATTGAGCTGGACGGGTCCCGCTTCCGGGTAGTGCGGGAGGGACTGCATGGCCTCTCACTCTTTGCCATTGGAGAGGGCTTTCTGCTCTGGAGCACAACCTCAGCCAACGGTGAGTCCCTCCGCTGTGCTTCGCCCAGCCCCTCCTACTGCACCAGAACAGGGGGTCTCTGCCAGCCCCAGTGGGGTGCAGGCTGCCCCTTCTGGGACCCTGCCTCCCATCCTGAGCACCCTTGTGGAAGGAGGTGGGCAATGCCAACCCTTCTTCAGGCTCTAGCAGGATCTGGCACAGCCGTCTGGAGCGGGCTGAGAGCTGGTGGTTCCCAATGGAGCAGGAGTTGGTGGCCATGAAGATTTACAGCCAGTTCTCACAGGAAGGTGGGTCTGGGGCTGTCCCAGCCTGAGGCACCTAGAGAGCTGAGCCATACCCTGTGGTGGCCATGCTAATCTATGCTGTTCTGGCAGGCACCAACGGCTGTGCCAAGAGCAACGGAGGCTGTGCCCAGCTCTGCCTGCCCAACCCTGCGGGGCGGCTGTGCCGCTGCTCCGCTGGCTACCACCTGGTGCGAGGGGTGGAATGCATGAAGGCACTGCCCTGCCCGGCCCCACTCCAGGCCTGCCCTGACCTCCAGACGTGCATCTCCAGAGAGCAGGTCTGCGATGGGCATCCCAACTGCGCTGACGGCTCTGACGAGTCTGACTGTGAGTGCCTGCCCACAGCCGGGTGTGCAGGGGTCCTGCCTGCCTGGTTTCCCCCAGTTTGGGGAGGTGGGGGTCACACTTGTGACTCTGATCTGTGTCCATCCTGCTAGGTCCTTCCCTGGAGATGGGGACCCTGATCCCCATGGTGGCAACATCACGAATGTCTCATGTGGAAGAACAGAAACCAACCTTACCTACAGCTTCACCCAAGTCTCAGCAGCCCGGCCCCAGCCTGCCTGCAGCCCCTAGTCCCAGGGAGCGTGGACAGCCTTTCCTGGTACACCCCGGCACTGAGGAGGTGGTGGGGGCTGTGCCGTGCAGCAGTGAGATGTGTAACCTACGTGGGGACTGCGCCATCGAGGCTGGGCGAGTGACCTGCCACTGTGCCCTGGGCTACCGTGGTGACTACTGTGAGGAGGCAGAGGTGCAGCCTGTTGCAGGACCTATTGCCCTAGGGGTGGCCGTGCTCCTGGTGCTTGCTGCTGCTGGTGTGGGGGCCCTGGCCTACATGCGGAGGAGGGACAGGCGGAGAAGGTGAGCTCTGGGGTGCGCTGGGACAGGTACAACAAGAGGGACAGAGAAAAGGTATGCATGTAGAAAGGAAGCAGAGAAGTCTGTCATCCTCCTGGTAGGTGTTTCAGGTACAACGGGGGATGGAGAGG